GCATCAGAGGATGTTTTTCATGGTTTTAGCATCTTTTCTTGGCTGGGTTTGAGAATATAAGTACACAAAACTGCTTCAATTGTCAAAAATGACTAATTAAGGCCAAAATACTTCAATAGATGTTTTTAAAATTTGGAGAAATTGGGTCATTCATTCTCTGGGACCATTGGAAGAGTATTTTTCCAATCATGACCTATGTGAATTAGCTATTTTAGGAGGTATTTCTCCAATAAAAGCAGATAAATATGAATTATTTGGGTCAAATCCAGCCTATGTTAGAAGCCTGATAAAGGTTCGACACTTTTTCCTGGTCTTTGCTTTACAGGAAGTTATTTACTCTGTTATTCAGCCGTAACTTCAAAGGTTTTTTTTTTTACACAAAACCCTCTGACAAAACCCCTTTTGTACCTGTGGACCTTTGAATGGCTTAAAGAGACAATAACCTGTTTAAAAAGCATCCCAGAACCATCCCAGAAAGGTGGTTTTTATTTAAAAAATAAACATATGAATGGGTCTGATGACCAAAATCTCCTGAAAAGATTTTTTTTTAAAAAACAGATCCTCAAATGGCTCAACCTGCTGTTTTTCTATTTTAGTTTTTACAGGAAATGTACAAAAATGTAATTCAATTTAAAGACTGTTATGATAAATAATGGTGGATGGTTTTGTTGATGTCTTGATATAATGTTGATATAAAAAAAAAGTGCAATAATGGAGTTATGGCGCAAAATCATCTACAATCACCTTTGTATTTGACTTTTATTTGTAATAAACAAACAAAGAAACGCAAAAGGCTTTTGTCATGACAAAGTACCCTGTTTTATTTTCCACCACCCAACTTTTTGTGTGTCCTTCTGGGTGTGTCTGTGTAACCCGAGAGCCACGTGACCAATAGGAGCACGCGCATTGTGCACGTTCAGAGCTCTTCCGCAAACTTTAAGAGGTGAGTTTGTTCCTGATAAACAACATTAAAAAATATATATATTTGCTGGTAAAAACATTTTAAGTTAAACACGCCTCTGGGCTTGTTCCTCTTTAGGAAATAGAGATTATAGTAAAACAAAACTCCGTTTTGTTCCCTGATTACGTCATCGAGTTTCTTTTTTGGTCGTTTTGACGCATCTGATCCTTGTTTTTAAAAAAAAAAGGCGAATAGCGCAAATTTGGGTACATTTGCGCAAAAACGGCTTAATTTGTGTAAACTTCTTGATATCTGGGATGCGTGTTGACGTTTAAAGTCGTGACTTTTTTACACTTTTCTGGGGCGTTGGTTGCTGGCTTTTTCTGTCCAGGGGACCGCGGTGCGTTTTTTCCATTTTCCAGGAAGTGCGCGCAACTTTGCGCAGTTTTCTAACCACTGAAACGACACTGTGGCGTTTTTACCTCGTTTGCTTTGGGTTTTTTATCTGTCTGTCGGCCGCCAAATGAGCCAATTAGAGCCCGGATCGATGGTTTTTTCCATTAGGAGGACGCATTAACTCTCAGTGGTCAGAGTCTGGTCGTGTTTCTGCCCAGTGGCTCTCAGAAGTGAAACCCGAAGAGTTCTCAGCTCCTTTATGGTCCCACAGCTTCTAACTCACATGCAAAACCCATTAATCTGCTTTTATCAGAGTTCAAAGAGACATTTGTTCAAGTGGCAAACAGCAGGGAAGCTCCAAATCAAAAATATGTATGATTAAAAGCTGTTTTTGTCCTTTTAGATTTGTTTTTTATTCCCCCAGAAAGAAAAATTCCCAACCAAAGGCTGGTTAAAAATCTGAAAACGGCCATTCAAACAGTAGCAAAGCTCCAAAAGAAAAAGGTTTATTCTTAAAAGCTGTTTTTGTCCTTTTAGAATAGTTTTTTATTCCCCCAGACAGAAAATTTCCCAAACCAAAGGCTGGTTAAAAAGCTGAAAACGGCCATTTATTGAAGTAGAAAACAGCAGCAAAGCTCCAAAAGCAAAAGGTTTATTATTAAAAGCTGTTTTTGTCCTTTTAGATTATTTTTTTATGCCCCCCAAAAATAAGTATTAACGACCAAAGGGTGATTCAAAAGCTGAAAACGGCCATTTATTGAAGTAGCAAACGGCAGTGAAGATCCAAAAGAATAAAAATGTATTATTAAAAGCTGTTTTTGTCCTTTAAGATTAGTTTTTATTCCCCCAGAAAGAAATATTCCCGACCAAAGGGTGGTTCAACATTAGAAAACGGCCATTTATTGATGTAGAAAACAGCAGCGAAGTTCCAAAAGAAAAATATGTATGATTAAAACCTGTTTTTGTCCTTTTAAAATAGTGTTTTATTCCCCAAAAAGAAGTTTTCCTGATCAAAGGCTGGTTCAAAAGCAGAGAACGGACATTTATTAAAGTAGCAAACAGCAGTGAAGCTCCAAAAGATAAAAGTTCATTATTAAAAGCTGTTTTTGTTTTTGAGAGAGAAAAACTTGCTATTTCAGGAGAATCCATGATATTCAGAGCTATCCAAAGTGTAGAAACAGTGTCTGCTTAGAGCAATAATCCTTTAGTGATGCTCCAGTCTCATGATTTCTAAGAGTTCAGTTTCTCCATAAATCTGATGGAGTATTCATGAAATCCCAAACATTTTTATCTGGATTTCTTAATTTTTCTTCATAAATTGCTGTTTTTAAGACCATTTCCTCCTCTTTCAGTCTTCTAGACTGATTTAAATCAGAGTTTTACAAAAAAAATGTTGGGGAGTAAAGTCTCACAGGCATATCGGTCCAAAATAATAGAGAAAAACTTCATATTTGAGGATAATCCATGAAATTCAGAGCTATCCAAAGTGTAGAAACAGTGGCTGGTTAAAGTAATAATCATTTAGTTCAGTTCAGTTTATTCATAAATCTGATGGAGTATTCATGAAAGCCAGAAAAATGTCATCTGGATTTGTAAACTTTTCTTTAACAGTGGCTGTTTTTAAGAGCATTTTCTCCTCTTTCAGTCTTCTAGACTGATTTAAATCAGATTTTTATAAAAAATTTGATGGAGTATTCATAAAAGCTGGAAAACTTCAATCAGGATTTAAAAACTTTTCTCCAACAGTGGCTGTTTTTAAGAGCATTTCCTCCTCTTTCAGTCTTCTAGACTGATTTAAGTCAGAGTTTTACAAAAAAATGTTGGGTAATAAAGGCTAACAGGCATATCGGTCCAAAATAATAGAGAAAAACGTCATATTTCAGGAGAATCCATGAGATTCAGAGATATCCAAAGTGTAGAAACAGTGGCTACTTAAAGTAATAATCATTTAGTTCAGTTCAGTTTATACATTAATCTGATGGAGCATTCATGAAAGCCAGAAAAATTTAAACCTGGATTTCTTAATTTTTCTTAATAAATTAGTTTTCAAGAGCATTTCCTCCTATTTTAGTCTTCTAGATGAATTTAAATCAGACTTTTACAGAGATACAGCAAATATCTGTTGGGTAATAAAGGCTCACAGGCATATTAGTCTGAAATAATAGAAAAAAACTTCATATTTGAAGAGAATCCATGAGATTCAGAGCTATCCAAAGTGTTCAAACAGTAAATGGTTAAAGTAATTATCTTTTAATTCAGTTTTTTAATAAATCTGATGGAGTATTCATGAAATTCAGAAAAATTTAATCTGGATTTCTTAATTTTACTTCATAAGTTGCTGTTTTTAAGAGCTTTTTCTCCTCTTTCAGTTTTCAAAACTGATTAAATGGAGGCTTAAATCAGAGTTTTGTGTTGCTGCTAAACCCTAAATATCTGAATATCTCCACCCGAGTAAAAACTTGAATATTATTATTATTATATTAGTATTTGTGAGCAATAAAAGTGAAGCTCTGATATTATTACTGGACCAAACAAGCTGAGGTCACCAGTGGAAAAACCAGGAATCACGTTTTCCAGCGCGACTAAATCCGATTAGATTTAGATACGGCCTCTAAAAGCTCCACATCCTGGAGGAATGTCGAATGTTATCTGGTCTTTTAAGGGAATCGTGTAGATACCATCAAAAGTTCGAGTTTTTTGCAACCCCCCATTACAAGTTATAATGAATTGGTTCCGATCTATTTATTCTCCAAGTCTGACTAATCTTTTATTTTGTCCATCCATCCATCCATCCATCCATTATCTTTTTGAACAATCTCTGTCTGCAGCCTGTAGGAGCCTCGGTTGGATATCCGACTCCTCCCACATCCAAGTCGGCCATTTTGATTAGGTCATGTGACTAGCAGCTTTCTGAGGTGGAAATGAAACTTTACTGTCTATACGAAAT